AACTATAACTATAACTATAACTATAACTATAACTATAACTATAACTATAACTATAACTAACTATAACTATAACTATAACACATGTTGCTTGTGCTCTATAAATTCAGTGAAAGTCAATTCAATAAAAATACTGTAAAATCTCCATTCCCTCTCCACTCCTGGGGGAAGGTTACTGCAAAATCCCATTCCCTCCCCACCCACTAACCTGCTTTCCAGCTCCGTTCTCCTGTGCAGAGCAACAAAAGAAGACCCAGCTGATCAGCTGGGACGCAGGAGGAAGATAATAGATGGGGGTGGGGCCAGTCAGAGGTGGTGTTTTCCAGTTCTCCGAACTAGTCAAAATTTCTGCTACCGGTTCTCCAGATCTGGTCAGAACCTGCTGAATACCACCTCTGCTTCCCACCCTGGCCAACAGCTATGCTAACTGAGAATCCTGAGAATTAATCCCAATATAAAGAGAGCAAAGGTTTCCAGGCCAATCTAAAATCTTTGGTACCCTGCTGGGTACCAACATAGTTTTTGTTTTCTTTTCAATGGCTATATTAAAAACTGACTGTCTCCCAAGCTTTGACCTAGAAATCTTGTAAGATTTCATCCACCTATCATCATCATTATCATCATCATCATCAAATTAGGGGAACTGTTGATGCCATTTAGAGGAAAAACATGTGTCATGGTCCCTGAGTGAGATGGGGTTCTATAAAAGCTTTCAGTAATTTTGTAGTGATCACATATTGAGCTAGAGGCCTCCAGTGTAGGAGAAGATTTATAGGTTTAATGTACTCAAGAAGATGCAAGATGGTGAAGAGGCAACACCACCACCACCCTCCCAAGAATATGATGTCTAGGAAATTCTGAGAAATTCTGAGAGAAATTCTGAATTTCTGAGAAACACCGCTCTAGAATTATGAATTTTGCTAAATGTCTTGGTCACTTAATAGAATACATGAACATGAAAAAAAGAAATCTACAAATATGTACAGGACATAATTAAACCATAAACCTTATTTTATAAATCAATATATTGAAGAAAAAGAACAAAAATTAGATATTTGCTGCTATCTTAAAATGATGAGTTATTTATATTAACATATATTAAAAATTAATTTAAATGTTAATATATTGTATTAATCTTCCATTTGTATTTTTTCATGGCTTGCTGATGTTTTTATTTAGATACATTTTTCCCCCATATTTTCTGCAAAGACAAAATAATAAATTAAGAATAAGGAAAAGAGGGGAAAATAAATTTGGGAATACAGATAGCTGAGAAAATATATACTCTTAGAGAGAAATATAAAATTGTATACATTTATATTCAAAAGTTTTACTAAGATATGAGGAAAGCACAGATAAATTAGCAGGGGGTTGGACTACTAGATGACCTACAAGGTCCCTTCCAACTCTATTAATATGTAAAGCATGTTTTCAAATAAAAGAGCCCCCCTTTGTTTGATTTATTTTATTATTTAAAATATTTCTGTACCTCCACCCCCCAAAAAAGCAATGCAGTTTATAACAACATTCAAAGAATTAGAACTCCAGGGTAAAACAATTGATAAAAGTAATTTAGTTTATTGTTTAATGGTTAGTCTAAGAACCATATCAAATAAAATAAGATAAATATGATAGTGTACTGGATATTTTCTACACACACATACATTAAAACACTGTATAAAGTATACAACCCAAAGTGTTAGCTAAAACAGTCTATAAAGCAATTTCAGAAAGTCAAAGCAGCAATAAAAAGTTTAAAACTAGCAGCATTATCACATTATTTAAAAAGTCAGTACCAGAGGTGGTATTCAGCAGGTTCTGACCAGTTCTGGAGAACCGGTAGCGGAAATTTTGAATACTTTGGAGAACCAGCAAATACCACCTCTGACTGGCTCCACCCCCATCTATTCTCTGCCTCCTGAGTCCCAGCTAATTGGCTGGGTCTTCTTTCGTTGCCCTGCACAGGAGAATGGAGCTGTAAAACAGGTTAGTGGGGTGGGGAGGGAATGTGGATTTTGCAGTAACCTTTCTCCAGGAGTGGGGAGGGAATGGAGATTTTACAGTATGCTTCCCCTGCCATGCCCACAAGCCATGCCCACAGAACCAGTAGTAAAAAAATGTGAAACCCACCACTGGTCAATACAATGTCTTTCTGTGGGTTTGAAAAGCTATGACAGTAACCCCAGATGAGGTTCCATTTCAAAATCTGGGACTCAGCAGACTGAAAACATTTGCTACCTATAGGCATTCTTAATCCATCATAACATGGGAGCACTAAAGTATAGCAGGCAACTATGGGAAGTGGTACAGGTAGTCCTTCCGATCCCAATTGAACCCAAAATTTCTATTATTAAGTGAGACATTTGTTAAGTCCATTTTGCCTCGTCTTACAACTTTTCTTACCACAGTTGCTAAGTGAATCACTGCAGTTGATAAGCTAGCAACCCAGTTGTTAAGTGAATATGGCTTCCCCATTGACTTCGCTTGCCAGAAGGTCACAGAATGTGATTCACATCACCTGGGGACACTGCAATGGTCATAAGTGTGAAGTAGTTGCCAAGCATCAGAATTTTGATCAGATCACGGGTGTCAAACTCGCGGCATCATGTTGACCTCACGTGATGTTTTGTGACCTTTTTTCCCTTCACAGGCATGGCCTGTGTATCCCACGGGTCGCCAGTTTGACACCGCAGGATCAGATGATCATGGGGATGCTATAAAGGTCATAACTGTGAAAAATTGTCATAAGTCACATTTGTCAGTGCCGTTGAATGGTCACCAAATAAACTGTTGTAAGTCAAGGACTACCTGTATTCTTTCAGCTCCTGGGATCTGGAGAGCTTTTATACTTAATATTAGCATCTTGAATTGCAACTGGAAATGAATGGGAGTTAATGAAAGTCATAAAGAACCAGAGTGTGAGGTGTTCTTTTTATTTTACTCACTTCTAGTCAATAATATTTGTTGCCTTACTGTTTGATATTACTTTTCTTTTTAAACTTTCTACAAAGGTAGCATTAGGAACAGTGCACTGCTGTTATCCATTTTTAGGAAAGCAATAATAAATAGTGGTACTTTAAAAGCTTGAAGTCTAAAAATGTAACACTGTTCTGTTGGAACCAAATGGCTATAAAGGAAATTAAGCTTAATGAAGTCATGAAGCAATCCACTACTTATATATACTGCCAAATGTGGATCCAACCAAACAAATATAAATCCACTCGATTTGGCAATAGAATTTTAAAACTCGGTATGTTCCTTTTGTATTTAAACTTGTGCATTTAAACTCAGTACCTTTGATATGCATCACTTATGCATGATATCTATGGAGATTCTCAGTCATGATTGTCCCAAAAATGCTTTTTCAAGGGGCAACTTGGACTTTCTATTTTTTCTTTGAAGACGTTTTGCTTCTCATCCAAGAAGCTTCTTCGATGAGAAGCGAAACAGAAAGTCCAGCTGCCTCTTGAAAAAGCCCCTTTGGGATTTATACATTGTAGTTTACTAGCTTTAACCCGGGGAATTTAAAAGGGAAATAAAAAATATTGGCTGAAGCTGGTGAAGCTTCTTGTGAGTAGAATTCACCTTTCACTTTGCATGTATCAGGTGTGGTAATATACTACAGCAAAACTGTTTAAATAAAACAAATATGTGCCACAAGATCCTTAATTTTGTTCTGCAATGTCAGGGATTAAAAATGGGAGAATGAACCATTTCTCTGACATGTTTTTGGCAACACTGCCCTCTACTGGAAATGTGCTTGAATAGAGCAATTAGATGTATGAAATGTATGCTGTATGAAACATTAACAAATACTATTAGAAAGAAATGTATTCCCTTAGCCTCCTAATGTAATTCAGAAGCTTGTTATATCTTGTCTTAGACAACAACTTAATAGATAAGTTTTCTTTGTTAACACTCCTAATGCTATGGTATCAGTCTGATGACACTGTACTCTATAACTGTTTTATTTTTCCAGCAAGACAGAAGTGACAGGAGGAAAAAAACAGAGAAAGATTACAAATGGACAATGAGAGTGTTTCATTACCTCATGAAATTCTGCTAATCATACAAGGTAATTACATCATTTAAGCGTTAGTGCTTTCATATCTGCAGTGCACAAATCCAGATGACTATTTAATGAAAGCAGGAGCAGAAATTTCTGTGGTTTTTTTTATTGCTATCTAGTGGTTATTTAAGCATTAGATTGATATGGTTCAGTCTACTGAGATTCATTTGAAAAAATCCTGAGTAGCAATATACCACAGGTGTCAAACTCGCCGCATCATGTTGCCGCCACATGAGGTTTCTCAATATTTTTTCATTTGTGGAGCTGGGGTGGGCATGGCCTGCATGTGACGCATCTGGCTCGTGGGCCGCCAGATTGACACTCTTGCAATATACTCTCCATGCTACCAAAGCAGGCCAGATCTTTTTTGGTTGGCCACTTTAGCACTGTAGTTGCATTCCATATTTCAGCTGTAAAAATCTGGATGGCCATTAGATGGCAGCCCAAAACAAAGGTTAACTTCTGATTGTATGCAGTTGCTGAAGGATTTATTTCAGAACCAGCTGCTTTACCTAACGTAATGAAGCCTGCATTACTT